AATGGAAGTATGGAGGTAGTTTTGTGCCAACAAATATAAGGGGTTAAATATGTGTCCAAAAATACAAATATATTTATAATATCTCCTAGATGTAGGGCAGACACTTCAAAACCTTATTCCTTATTATTTATTTTTTGACATTTATGAATGTGTTATTCAAAGCATTTCTATAGTAGTAAAGGCCAAATTCAATATTTTATCAAATAATTTTAAAATATTCTTTAGGGAGACCTAAAGGGGTCCTAAAATTCAAAATCAAATAGCTAAATAAAACAATTCCATATGTTAGCTTAGTACCCCCCCCCCCCCCTCCCACCCGTGCGTCAATCTAAGTAACATAATTTTAAAAAATCCCCCCCAGAAATTGTCCAGACTATAAAAGATGTTCTATGTAGAATTCCCATTAAGTTTGATTTTAGGTCCAGGACAAGGCTTAATCCCTGTCTGGGAAACCGGACCTTAATGAGCAAGTACCCCAGACACCAGTGGGGTCAATACCAAGAGCATTTTAATGCTTGGCCGAATACAACAGGTGTACACTTTACAGTGAAATGCTTACTTACGAGGCCATTTCCGACAATGCAGAGTAAAAAAGTTAGACAAATATTTGCTAAATAAAAAAGGAAATAGTAACACAATAAAACAATAACGAGGCTATATACAAGGAGTATCAGTACCAAGTCAATGTGCAGGGGTACGAGGTAGTTGGGAGTTCGGCCCCAGTGATGTACTGGGCCATACACACTACCCTCTGTAGCGGCTTGCGGTCAGATGCCAAGCAATTGCCATACCAAGTGGTGATGCAGCCAGTCAAGATGCTCTCAATGGTGCAGCTGTATACCTTTTTGAAGATCCGCTCCATTTTAATCACATCTGTTACAATTCCATGTTGCACTATCACAAATAATAATGAGGAAGGTATACACAAGACTATACACAAGGGCAAACAACAGCATTCCATACATGCTGCAAAAACACCAATATGTTCTCATTCTTGTACACTGAACCAAAATATAAACGCAACATGTAAAGTGTTGGTCCCATGTTTCATGAGCTGAAATAAAAGATCCCAAAAATGTTCCATATGCACAAAAATATTATTTCTCTAAAATTTAGTGCACAAATATGTTTACATCCTTGTTACTGAACATTTCTCCTTTGCCAAGATAATCCATCCACCTGACAGGTGTAGCATATCAAGAAGCTGATTAAACAGCATGATCATTACACAGGTACACCTTGTGCTGGGGACAATAAAAGGCCACTTTAAAATGTGCAGTTTGGTCACACAACACAATGCCACATGTCTCAAGTTTTGAGGAAGCGCGCAATTGGCATGCTGACTGCAGGAATGTCCACCAGAGCTGTTGCCAGAAAATTGAATGTTCATTTCTCTATCATATGCCGCCTCAAACGTTGTTTTAGAGAATTTGGCAGTACGTCCAACAGGCCTCAGAACCGCAGACCACGTGTAACCACGCCAGCCCAGGACCTCCACATCCGGCTTCTTCACCTGCGGGATCGACTGAGACCAGCTAACCAGACGGCTGATGAAACCGTGGGTTTGCACAACCAATGAATTTCTGCACAAACAGTCAGAAACTGTCTCAGGGAAGCTCATCTGCATGCTCGTCGTCTTCACCAGGGTCTTGACCTGACTGCAGTTAGGCGTCATAACCGACTTCAGTGGGCAAATGCTCACCTTCGATGGCCATTGGCACTCTGGAGAAGTGTGCTAGTCATGGATGAATCCTTGTTTCAACTGTACCGGGCAGATGGCAGACAGCGTGTATGGCGTCATGTGGGCGAGTGGTTTACTGATGTCAACGTTGTGAACAGAGTGCCCCATGGGGGCGGTGGGGTTATGGTATGGGCAGGCATAAGCTACGGACAACGAACACAATTGCATTTTATTGATGGCAATTTGAATGCACAGAGATACCGTGACGAGATCTTGAGGCCCATTGTCATGCCATTCATCCGCCGCCTCATGTTTCAGCATGATAATGCACGACCCCATGTCGTAAGGATCTTTACACAATTCCTGGAAGCTGAAAATGGTCCAGTCTTTCCATGGCCTGCATACTCAACAGACATGTCACCCATTGACTATGTTTGGGATGCTCTGGATCGACGTGTACGGCAGCGTGTTCCAGTTCCTGCCAATATCCAGCAACTTTGCACAGCCATTGAAGAGGAGTGGGACAACATTCCACAGGCCACAATGAACAGCCTGATCAACTCTATGCGAAGGAGATGTGTCGCGCTGCATGAGGCAAATGGTGGTCACACCAGATACAGACTGGTTCTGATCCACGCACCTACCTTTAAAAAAAAAAAGGTATCTGTGACCAACAGATGCATATCTGTATTCCCAGTCATGTGAAATCCATAGATTAGGGCCTAATGCATTTATTTCAATTGACTGATTTCCTTATATGAACTGTAACTCAGTAACTTATATTTTTGGTCAGTGTATATGCATCACTACCTGGTTATATTTTGAGAAAATCCTCACAGAAATACGAAACCAGTCTTGTGAATGTTAGAAAAACCTTGGTCTAGTATCTAATTTACTTATCACGATATTCATTCAATTAAATCGTGTAGGAGAAGTAGAATTTCGATAGCATCCACTTCATCGTCTGTCATTGTCGCGTTTCCTAGAAACAGCAGAAGTTGTCCAAGTGTTTGTGCATATTATGTACCTGCCCGACTTTACTTGTCGACTTTCGTCTACAGTCGGCTACTTTCGGCTTACAGCTCGAAAGCTCCCAGTATCTCTCTCTCATAGAGCTCCAGAGTGGAGGTGTCATAATACCCATAAAACCTAGCGGTGAAACAGGGAAATGTTTCCAATCGTTTTTCCACCATTCATTTTTCCCATAAGGAATTTTAGAAACACTTAAAATAAGGGCTTTGTTTTGTTTAAAAAAATCTATTTTATTTGTCACATACACATGTTTAGCAGATGTTATAGCGGGTGTAGCGAAATGCTTGTGCTTCTAGCTCCGACAGTGCAGTAATATCTAACAATTTCACAACATATACCTAATACACACAAAACTAGTAAGGAATGGAATATACATATATGGACAAGCAATGACAGAGCGGCATGTACTAAGATACAGTAGAATATTATAGAATAGAAAGCAGTATATACATATGAGATGAGTAGTGCAAGATATGTAAACATTATTAAAGTGACTAGTGTTCCATTTCTTAAAGTGGCCAGTGATTTCAATAGGCAGCAGCAGCCTCTAATGTGCTAGTGATGGCTATTTAACAGTCTGATGGCCTTGAGATAGAAGCTGTTTTTCATTCTCTCAGTCCCAGCTTTGATGCACCTGTACTGACCTCTCCTTCTGGATGATAGCGGGGTGAACAGGCAGTGGCTCGGGTGGTTGATGTCCTTGATGATCTTTTTGGCCTTCCTGTGACATCGGATGCTGTATGTGTCTTGGAGGGCGGGTAGTTTGCCACCGATAATGCGTTCGGCAGACTGCACCACCCTCTGGAGAGCCCTGCGGTTGCGGGTGGTGCAGTTGCCGTACCAGGTGGTGATACAGTCTGACAGGATGCTCTCAATTGTGCATCTATAAAAGTTTGTGAGGGTTTTAGATGCCAAGCCGGATTTCTTCAGCCTCCTGAGGTTGAAGAGGCTCTGTTGCGCCTTCTTCACCACACTGTGCGTGGGGTGGACCATTTAAGTTTGTCGGGGATGTGTACGGCAAGGAATTTGAAGCTTTCCACCTTCTCCACTGCGGTCCTGTCGATGTGGATAGGGGGGTGCACCCTCTGCTGTTTCCTGAAGTCCATAAACATCTCCTTTGTTTTGTTGACGTTAAGTGAGAGGTTATTTTCCTGGCACCACACTCCCAGAGCCCTCACCTCCTCCCTGTCGGCGGTCTCGTCATTGTTGGTAATCAAGCCTACTACTGTTGTGTCGTCTGCAAACTTGATTGAGTTGGAGGCGTGCTTGGCCACGCAGTCATGGGTGAACAGGGAGTACAGGAGGGGGCTGAGCACGCTCCCTTGTGGGGCCCCAGTGTTGAGGATCAGCGAAGTGGAGATGTTGTTTCCTACCTTCACCACCTGGGGGCGGCCCGTCAGGAAGTCCAGGACCCAGTTGCACAGGGCCGGGTTCAGACCCAGGGCTTACCCTGGCGTGACGTTTTGATAACCATGTAAATCTCTCTCGGACAAGGTGCCTTTTATCAATATATTCAGCTCTATTTACTCTCAGATTCTAAAATGCTAATTAGTAGCATCAAAGTAGGCATCATGCAAGACTACAAATCCCTGCAAACTCTTGCACGTCATCTCCAGCTGACATGTTTGCTAACAGGTATTGTGTCAATTTAAAACGTGCACAAGACAGTTCAGAGAATTGTCAATTTAAAGAAATGTAGCCAATTTATTCATTACTAAATTTAGCTAACATTAGATACTGTAGTTCATCCAGAGATTCTTACCTTTGCCTCTATTCAGCAGTCTCGTCCAGATCCTCATGGTATTTGTAGGTCTTTGTGATAGCCACATTAGCAGCTAATAAGCATTTAATTTCGGGGGGGGGGGGGGGGGGGGGTAAATACAGGCAAATATATTGATAAAAGTCACCTTCTCCTAGAGAGATTTACACAGTTATCAAAACTTCAGGCCAGGGTAAGCCTACACAAAACACAGCCCTTATTTTAAGTGTTTCTAAAATTCTAAAAAAATGTATGGTGAAAAAACGATTGGAACAATTTCCTTCTTTGAATGCTAGGTTTTTTGGGCATTATGACTCTTACTGTAGTACTCTATAGACCTCCACGCTTATCCCTGTATTCTCCTTGGACTGATTTTGACCTTCCTCTGGTCATATCACCAAAGATGGTGGATATATTAAGATAGTTAACTCAAGCCGTTAACCATTTGAAAAAAGGGGGTGGCTCTCCATAGACACCAATGCGATAGCAGCTTGGTCTGGACTTCCATTAAAATAGAAACAATAAGGGAGTGGGATGTCTCGCTTCTTCTTCAGTCTTTGATAGGACGTTTTAAAAAAGGTCTGTACTGCACACTCCACAACAGCAGGTGGCGTTGAATATCAATGATTAGAGACAGCAGCTGTCGTCTAAAAAATGCGTATTGCGTAAAAACTGTCCACGGCCGGGAAAGCTAGTCGTTGAATACTGTAGCTGTCACTACGATGTCCTGCATGTATCTGTCTTTACAAGCAATCGAATTATCAACCTTCTCATGTAGCGAGTTGCTTACTTGAAACCTCATTTTTGGATAGAGTCATAGTAGAAGTCTCATTTCAATATGAATGAGCCAGAGGGACTGCGGTTCAGGAGGCTGAACAGACCACAGGTCATCACAGACGAATTACAGGAACCCCAATACAAGGGAACCAGGTAAGCTAGCCTACTCTAAATAATACAGTATTGATATTAACATCAGATACTGCTTTCCTTGCTATGTAGTATTTATTGCCTCACGCACAGATGCAGTCAACCACTGTGTTTCAGGCTGCATGATTCGTATTTCCACTTGCTAGTTGATGAGAGATGCAGAAGTAAACACAATCCATGTATAGGTCAGTTTTCCACTCACTGACAGGTAACAGTGGATGAATTACTTTGCATTATGCATGCATGGTATGAACCAAACAGTCAGTAATAAGTGGAGATAATTGGCCAGCATGCACTGAGTGATAGTAAGGCCTATTTAGGTTTGTCATAGATGTATTCTCTCTGAAAATAGATGCATTTGCATTCTGTGTGTATGTTTGAGTACTGCATCATCCACTGTTGACCTGAGCTGACCTAATTTATCTCTTCAAACACCCAATAACAAATTGATATTAAAATCTTGAAGAATATAACTTAGGCCTATGCCTCAGTAGCTTAACACAGCTATCAAACCTTTATTTAACCCAAAACATAAAGGTTATAGGCCTACTCCATTGTTTATAAACAACAAGAACATACAAATCTTCCAAATATTTATCATATGGATGTCAGACTGTCAGTCCTTGCATCTAGAACTCTCTATGAATTTGAGAGAGGTTACATTTCCTCAGCATCATCCCTCAGCTGTATAGAAAAGTGGCGGGCGGCTTTAATTGATCTATGTTTTGTTTTCCCCAGTACCTACAGTGGAAAGGTATTCCGTGTGACCCTAGTGACCTTGGGAGGATGCCTGATCCTTCCATTGCTTGTGGTCTTTTTTCTGCTTGAGTCTCCTATTCACCCTGAGCTGCTCAGGTGAGATGTCAAGAATGAAAATCCTTCTCTCTTTTTTTCTCCTGGTCTTTAGAATCATGTTCACTCCAATAGCTCAGAAATGTATTGACTTCAAGGAATGTTAAGACTAATCAGCTTTACTGCAATATACTTTAGTCAGTCTGCATAGTCAACATTTCTGCTTACTTTTCAACTTTTGGAAATAACATTTGTGGAAACTGTTCTGTACATTTCTACCACAAGACCCTCTGACAGATTTCACTCAACTGAATGACTAGGCTTATACTACTTGTATAAGTCCCTCTCACAGATTTCACTCAACTGATTGACTAGGCTTATGCTACTTGTAGAACATACATTATGTAGTATATAACTTTAGTATGTAGAATGGTTTCAATTGTCCCTAAGCAATAGAATTTATCATGTAGGCCTAATGTTTTGATGCAAATACAAAATGCTTAGCCAAACATGATCTTATTTCAATAATTGATTCATTAATGATTGAGGAAAGATTGATAAGGCACTCTGCTCAAAGTCTGAATGCACGGTTGCCATTTTCTATTAGGCGCCTCCAGTCAGTTCAGAATCCCCCTTGTCCACTCCTCTGCCACAACCCCGATCTCTCCACAACTGCATAGCCGTATTTCTCTATACTGCATTCTCTACTAATGCTATTAGATTGAGTGATTTGCTGCCCCAACTTGCACAATGGCCTTGGGTCATAGACAAAGCTGATCTCATTTATCACCAGTGTCTGCCCCTCAGAACAAATAGCATGCATCTCCCTGTCCTCATTACAATTCATTGCTCAATTCTGCATCCACACTTAATGATCCATTCTGAGGTCTTGGGGCCAAGGATTTCCTCTCTCCCATTTCTCCACAGCACTAGGCTCCAGGGTACAGTCTAGTCAAGGACAAGGGTGTTGATCAGTGATTCATACTGATCCTGTTTCCTCATTTGTTTCCTCTTGTCTTTTCAGCCTCAATGAGCCTCCCCTTATGTCTGGGTGTTACGAGCCCAACTTTAAGCTGAGGGAGGCACAGCGGCTGTTTGAAGACCAGCTTGTTGGCCCAGAGTCCATTGCCAACTTCGGAGGTTAGTATGGGGGTAGAGCATTCCAGTTGGAGTTTCGCCACATGACAATGTCCTTCACCCAGTTTGTTTGGGCTTGTGTAATTCATGGTGATGCCACAGTAACAGCAGCCTGATATATCAAAGGTGATAGGGCAATGCAGTCTGGATTGCAGACATGTCAGCTGGTGACCAATAATGGCAGATGTTTAGGTTTTCCAAATGAGCTATGGTAAGCGTGGTCTTAGTGACAGACAGATATTTGGGATGACATATATTTTCACACATGACATGACTTCTGCTTGACTAGTATTCCTCTGCAACTGTTTTGCTTTTCTGAGGTCATAATGGTGAACCGTGTCCAACATATTGCCCTGGCATTTTTTCAGTTTCTAAATGCTAATTGTTATTGTCTATCTCCTTCTCTAGATGTGATGTACACAGGTACGGCTGATGGGAAGATAGTGAAGATTGAGGGCAAGAGCATCACTGTTATAGCCAGACTTGGCAAGCCACCCTGTGGTAAGTGAGCAAGGACTAGAGCTGTGACTGATTCTTCACTCATTGTGTTGCCGGACTCAGTTAGACCTGATTTCATAAACTTTCATTTCACAATGTTGTCTCAACTCTCAACTTGACATGATTTAGACAGAAATGACTCAACAGAAATGACTCAACAGTTCCAATTGCTGAAGACTGGAGTTTCAAATGCTCAATCATAAGCAACTCTTAGCAGTTGCATTTCACTCGTGCCTTTTATGGAATGTTTTTATACTTGCACAACAAGGATGGCTTAATGCACAACAGGCCTAGCAGGTTGGCTCAAAACTGAAAAGACATGTCAAGAATAGACTGAGCTCTAACCCTAGTATTTGCTCATATTAATCAGATTAGCCTGTTCAAAATGATTGAATTATAAATAGCACCCAATAAATGAGGAATTACTTCAGATACCTCATGTCCACTGGGTTGTGTGCTATGTTTTAGATGGATCCCGTGAGCAGGAGCCTAGCTGTGGACGACCCCTGGGTATCAGAGTGGGTCCTAACGGCACCCTGTTTGTAGCTGACGCCTATCTGGGGCTTTTCGAGGTCAACCCTGTCACAGGTCAGCAGCATACACAGCTAAGGGCAAGCTTCTACATAGCAATGGCATCACAGTGCTCTATTTCCTTGATAGGATAGATTTTAATATCAGTAATGTGACATAGACCGGTTAGGAATTAAATATTTGTTTTTGAATTTCCCAACAATTTCACCTTTTACTCAGTATAATACATTTTGTTGCATATAATATCCTCCAAATAAAAGCGCTGTAGTATGCAAGTCATTTTAGTGATGTAACTCTCTCTCCTTGACTCATTCTAAAGGTGAGGTGACCAACCTGGTGTCGGCTGGGCAGATGGTAGGGGGCCGGAGGCTCTCCTTTGTTAATGACCTAGATGTAACACAGGATGGGAGGAAAGTGTACTTCACAGACTCTAGCAGCAGGTGGCAGCGGAGAGACTACCTTCATCTTATCATGGAGGCCACAGCAGATGGACGGTAACTGTTACCACAGACCTTATGGAGAGCCTTGAGCACATTCTAAAAGCAAGGTCTTGTCTCCTTTGTCAAGAGTTTCTATTGATATTTGATATAGATTTAGGTTATTATAGTGCCTTAAAAGCATGTGTGTTCATACATAATGTGGGTACCTTTCATTTTTAAGAAGGAATGGTTTATAAAGACAACAAACTGAAGTTTGAGAAAAGCTGTCCATATGTAACCCTCTGTCTGTCTTTCAGTGTGTTAGAGTATGACACAGAGACCAAGGAGGTAACAGTGTTGATGGAGAACCTTCGTTTTGCCAACGGGATCCAGCTTTTCCCTGATGAGGAGTCTGTACTGGTGACTGAGACTACCATGGCTAGGATTCGCAGGTACTGTAGTTGATCCTCCTGAGCAACACAACCAGCCTTATTTAACTAATTCACTGAGTGAAGAAATGCTACCCACAGGGGATTCCCCCCCCCCCCCCTTATTTCTCTCTCTCTTCCTCTTTTGAAACGTTCTGTAGTTATCTCTTGTTTCATCAGATGCTAGGTTGTTTTGGTGGCCTCTTTGAACGTGCTCCAAGTGCGCCCACAAGGTTTTTAATTTTTCTCTGGTTTTCATTATTTTCTCTCCACCGTAACAAGATTTCATTGGTATATTTCGCCTTTGTAATGTCACGCTTTTTAAAACCTGCAAGGAGCACAGTCAATTCTCCCAAGCCTCACCTGGATAAATGATGCAAGCGGACTGTTGCCTTGGTAACGGAGCCCCTTCACCAAGCTGCCTGAGTAGAAAGACAAAATTAGCTTGTCCATTCTCTAATAGTAATGCTAGTGTGTTAGAAAGGGGGAGGACACGCAGGTTGAAATATCAAAACGAACTCTGAACCAACTATATTAATTTGGGGTCGGGTCCAAAAGCATTAAACAAGTATGGCAATTTAGCTAACTAGCTTGCTGTTGCTAGCTAATTTGTCCTGGGATATAAACATTGGGTAGTTATTTTACCTGAAATGCACAAGGTCCTCTACTCCGACAATTAATCCACAGATAAAAGGGTAAACCGAGTTCGTTTCTTCTAGAAGGCTTCTTGTTCTTTGGACTTTATATGGCAGTTGGCAACCAAGTTTAAGGTGCATTACCACTACCAACTGGACTGGAGTGTGGACCTCAATTCATCTTTCAATCACCCACGTGGGTATATGCTCCTAAAAACCAATGAGGAGATGGGAGAGGCAGGACTTGCAGCGCGTGAAGTGTCACAAATAGAACCAAGTTCTATTTTAGCGCCTGGCTACGCAGACGCTCGTTGATGCGCGCAAGCAGTGTGGGTGCAATGATTGAATAACATGTACCCGTATGTGTAAATGTATTTTGCGACGCGAGCGGTGTGGTCAGCATGTAATGCAGACAGTTTGGGGACGTTTTCTATTTGCTGACTGTGCAGAATGGAAATCAGTAAATGGATTCCTTTTAGGTATTCCCAGCAAGTAGATTCTTTCCTCCCTCCCATAACTGGTTTATAATAGTCATAAGTCATACATTTTCCTTTGGCTTTATCAATGCAGACAGCTTGCTGAGACAAATACCCTGGTGCTGCTGAGAACTCTGAATCTGGGTGGTCTTTCTATAACACAGACTTCAAAGTATTGTGAAGACTGCTCGTACAATAGTTTTTTTGTCAAATGTTTTGAATTGTTTCCCGTAATACCTCTGTCTGTCACACATACCGTGCGCATGAGGCAAGCCATTTTAACCTTAATCTGCATGACAGAATAGACTTTCTATCCCTCATCTCCTGAATTTCCATTCAATTGACTGTCTGTGTCCCTCTAGGGTCCATGTGTCAGGTCTAAATAAAGGAGGAATGGACACATTTGTTGACAACCTGCCTGGTTTCCCTGACAACATCCGTCGCAGCTCCTCTGGAGGGTACTGGGTGGCAATGTCAGCGGTGCGGCCCAACCCTGGCTTCTCCATGCTGGACTTCCTGTCCCAGAAGCCCTGGATCAAGAAGCTCATCTTTAAGGTAGATGATATGACATGATGTGATATCATATGGTATTATATGATATAAAACAATAGCTTTGTCCATTTACATGGAAGTTTAAAAAAGACTACAGGGAGAACAATTTGCATGTCCTATTTACTGTGACTATGAGTCTAGTATTCATTCCTGTTGGTCTGATTCTTGGGTGTTTTTGCATACAAGGGTTTGGGATCTTGCCAGCTGGAAACAAATATTGAAGGGATTCATTCATTGTGACCATGAGACCAGTTTGTTAGAATGTGTATCTTTATGTGTGATCTCTAGTTCAGTCGTGTTTTTGTGCTATGACTCATCCCTCCCTCCTTCCTCCCTCCCTCCCTCCAGCTCTTCAGTCAGGACATGCTGATGAAGTTTGTGCCTCGCTACAGCCTGGTGATAGAGCTGCAGGAGAGCGGGACGTGCGTGCGTAGCTTCCATGACCCCCACGGCATGGTGGCGGCCTACGTCAGCGAGGCACATGAGCACGACGGCCACCTCTACCTAGGCTCTTTCCGCTCCCCTTACCTCTGCAAGCTGGATCTCAGCAAGGTGTGAGCTGGGAGCTGAGCACAACCACTTTCTCAGACAAAACCCATATATGAGACTGCTGTCTGCCTACCTAACACCTCCCTACCTAGTCTCTCCCAAATTAGTGTTTTCCAATAACAACAAATACATCAGAATTGATAAGAATGGCTTAATGCTTGATGTGCTGCATTTGCATTGCTTTTCACCAGCTTCAGGAAAACATGGACTAGTCTTCATTAAGTATCTGCACTATTAAGGCGCATTTGACTGGGATGCAAATCCATCCTTTCTAGTCTTATCAGCCCACAATGAACTATTAGCCCTTTCTGACAGTGCATTTCAGTTGTAGCTCAAGGAATGTGTTATTTAACCAAACAGTCTTTGGGGAAAGTAGTTTTCCCAAAAATCCCCATGTTGTAAGGTACATTGTTTTTCAGGTCTGTGTTTTGGGTTGTTGAAATGTGCCAAATTTGTTCTCGATTTTGTTTGTTTAAACCATTCAGTATCTGCACTTTTAGTTTCATTTTTGCACTAAGCTCTCATCTCACCCTTAAATATAACTGACAATGTTATTCTTGTACTTGGAGAATTTCAAAGACGTCATCTTATCAGTTGAAATACACATGTAAAAATCACTGAATCAGTATTATTCTAGGAGTGCCACTGAACTGATTTATTTTGTTGTGTATATTTAGAAATCCTAGATCTAGTTGATCATAATAAAGGTGATGCAAAAAGAATACAAAATAAGTATGAATCGTTTCCCCTCATTGTGATACATTTCATCGGCTTTTGTATAATGCACTGTCAACTTCCTAACGTAATGTCCATTTTGCCAGCTTTCAGCTGAGTTTCTTTTGAATTAAAACAGTTATGTTTTAACTGGCTTTTATCTAATAATATGAAAAACATGATGGCACATTTCTACAGTTTGTTTAGCTACTTACTAGTGTTTACATACTACTGCCATAAAGATTAGCCTGCTACTGACCGACTACATGTCTTAAATGATAGAAAACAGTGTCAGTGTACGCCTCAGCAATATACAGTACCGTAGACATCTACATGAGATCACATAGAAACCCTCCCCTGCCTCAGAACCAGTGAAGCTCATTAAAAGAGGGTGCACAGAGCGCTACTTCAAAGAGGGTGCTGAGAGCTCTGAGATGAGAGTGCCGACCCCCCTCAGAGAGCCTCCTCCCAGGGCCGCCCGCTGCTACAGTCAGCCTTTTCTGCTCTACTCGCTCCTCAAGATCAGACACTGCTACTGCACTGGTTTCATAAGAGCCTTTGAATAATTGAGGTGTATCACAGACTATTAGACACAAGGTTAGGGTTCAGGTCACTGAGTGCTGAGGAAGAATGATAACCCTGGCTGTTAAAAAGGCCCTGTGGAGCAAGCCTTCAGATGGAATCTGTAGAAGGTTTATGTTTACATGGCCTTATATAAACGTGCTTGGTTGTCAAGTCCTTGTTCACAAGGTTCCGTTTTTTATCAGAGCTTGTTGATCAGAGTCTGTGCAGACCCTAACTCAGGCCAAAATGTGATTATTTATAATTCGGTGTATAATTTGCAAGGGTCAATGCGGTCTACCATTTTATTATAGGATAAAATACAAGGTTAGGTGCCTTTCGGTTGTTATTGCTATGTAAGTTAGACTTGAAAGGCCTGAAAATCATATTGCTACTCAAGACACATGGAAATTGCCATTGTTTGACTATATATGTTAAAGGAGTAGTTCACTATTTTACAACTTGATGTTAGACGGTTCCTCACCCTGAAAGTAGTCTATGGGCCAAGATAAACTGTAATCCATGCTTCGGTTTTCTTTAAACAGCCACTACAAACTTCAGCTAACCTTAGCCAACCCCAAGCTAACAATCAATGGAAGTGATGGGGCATGTTTAAAAATTGATTTATTCCAAATCACCTGAAATCAATTCAAATCAACTACATATTTGTTTTTATGTTACTTAAAGGTGATTTGGCCATTTATTTTTTTAAACATGCCCCCATCACTTCCATTGATTGTTATCTTGTGGTGGCTAAACTTAGCTGAAGTTTTTATTGGCTGTTTAAAGAACCATGGATTACAGTTTCTCCTTGCTCATAGACTACTTTCAGGTTGAGGGACCATCTAACATCAAGTTGTAAAATAGTGAACTACTCCTTTTATTTAGAGAAATGTAAATATGCTCAGTTATATGACCATGTTTAGAAGGAAACAGCTTAGTATTTCCTCAGAACATTGAATGAGGAAGGATTGGGTTTCATGGAGAAGTGGAAGGTCGGTCAGATGGACTGCAAATAAAATTGGTAGTCTTCATGAAGTGGAGCCAAGACATAGTCCAAACCTCAAAGTCACAGTGGAAGGTCTGAAATACAAACATGCACTCTATTATAAAGAATAATCTACAATGTTATGACTTTTAGCCATGATCCATTCCACTTGTCAGCCAAAATGAGTGCTGGTCTTTACCCAATTGCTATACATACAACTTTGACATACTGTATCATATTTAAATTCAATCCACACTACTGTTCTTCCAACTTTTGTTAATTCTGCACTAAAAACATAATGTGTACTGTACAATACCTGCTGTAACAAACCATCTGGTTGGAACTTGCAGTTGGCCAGGTCTGTGTTTCTGTGCCACTTTTTGAGGCACACAGTCCGTGAGAGGTCTACTTCCAGAATGTATTTGACCCCCTTTACAAGCTGTAACGGAAAGCTTTGTTGAACTGAAGAAGTTTATGTCTCGCCAGTATAGTCCAACTACAGTATATTGTGAACCATACCATATGGCACAGATTTTATATATGATCACTAACAGGTTTTTAGCCAAAAAAGTTCAGCATAAAGGTCAAAGTTATTGTTTGTCCTCCATACCTGTCTTTCTGCTTTCTCGATTGCAGATGGCCTGAAGAGGAAAGCATCATTGGTCTGGTTGTTAAATGAATAGGTCCCATGAAGAACCGCCTTTAGGACCCCCTTGTCATCCGTGCTGATGTTATAGGGGGCGCCAGGTACAGACATATACCTGTGGCAACTGACTGGAAACAAATAAAAGTGCTTACTCAACACCATTCACAAATGTTTGTTATATTAGGGTAATTAGCCTGAAAAACAAAACAATAAAATAAGTAAAATAAGAAAAACATAAGTAAACAGGCCAACAATCAGCATATCAAAAGGCAATATAATTAGTAATATGACACAGGTAATTGTTGACCCTAAGAAATAATAATAAAAAAGACTAATGCTAATGGAAAATACAAAATAAACAAGGTATCCTTTCTTTGGCGTTGGCTTGGGCAGTGGACATGTACTGTACCTGAAGTGTTATTGTTTTCATTTATGTAGGCCTACTTGTTTTTTGTTGGTTATATCTCATCTATGTGGTGTTGGCATCCCTATCTACACTGCATTTTCACAGTCTTTGCGCGAGACACACACACACACACGCACACGCGTACAGTGTTGTAAAGTACTTAAGTTAAAATACTTTAAAGTACTACTTAAGTAGTTTTTTGGGGTATCTGTACTTTACTTTACTATTTATATTTTTGCCAACTTTTACTTGTACTTCACTACATTCCTAAAGAAAATGATGTACTTTTTACACCATACATTTTCTCTGACACCCAAAAGTACTCGTTACATTTTGACAGGAAAATGGTCCAATTCACACACTTATCAAGAGAACATCCCTGGTCATCCCTACTGCCTCTGATCTGGCGGACTCACTAAACACAAATGCTTCGTTTGTAAATGATATCTGAGTGTTGGAGTGTGCCCCTGGCTATCCGTAAATAAAGAAAACTAGAAAATGCCGTCTGGTTTGCTTAATATAAGGAATTTGAAATGAGTTATACTTTGACTTTGACTTTTGATACTTAAGTACATTTTAGCAATTCCATTTACTTTTGATACTTAAGTATATTTAAAACCAAATACTTTTAGACTTTTACTCAAGTAGTCATTTACTGGGTGACTTTGACTTGAGTCATTTTCTATTAAGGTATCTTTACTTTTACTCAAGTATGACAATTGCGTACTTTTTCCACCACTGCATGCACGCACACACATACACACACACACACACACACACACACACACACACACACACACACACACACACACACACACACACAAACACACACACTTACATAAGACTGTGTGCTACAACTGACAGTCAGAACTGTAGCCAAAGGCAAGTGACACACAATATATTTTTCTCATACTGATAAATAGTCAGCCAACATGAGCAGAGAAATCTGACTCCTCATAAATAAACTGAAACCAAGCCATAAGGGCCTAACCCTAACATGATTATATAAATCAAGCAGGATATAGCTGCATTATATTGCACAAGAATGATAATTTACTGTCACGCATTGCTACTGATCAAAGACATTTTTTTACTAACAGATATTGGTGTAGTTATGTTATGGTAAAGTAATCAGAAGGGTTAAACTGAGGAAGTTGACAAAATCCTCAGATCCTTAGAAAACCTAGACAACCAATTGGCTTCACAAATATGACATGCAAAACCTCCAACTTCAATTAAACACACACAATTTCATCCTGTTAAAAGATCTTACCAATTGAGCACAGGCACAAGCCAGAGAAGAGCAGAAGCATGTTACCAATGCCTGTTGGAGCTTTTTCAACACTGTTCTGTTTATTTTACTTCCTGTAAGGCAACACTTTCACCACACATTGCAGACTAGCAAAACTTACCATGGCCCCTCTCTCACAGGACATGAGCTCAACCAATTATAACTAGAAGGTACAGCCAATAGCGAAAACTGAACAAGATAGTTGGATTATTTCAATATCTTTTGATTGACATTCTCTAATCTTTTTGCAACAGAATATTATTTTCATGAATTGTGTACTTGGAAAGGTGGTGCATAAGTACATAAGAGAAGAAACCCACTGGGCAGAGACGTCAATTCAACGTCTACTCCAAGTTGGTTCAACAGAATTTCATTGAAATTATGTGGAAACAACGTTGATTCAACCCGTATGTACCCAGTGGGAAAGCACCACAACCAATTTTGAATTGGCTTTAAATTGGTTTAAAGCTGCCTTTCAACATAGTCCTGTGTGATAGCATCACTTTGAAGACAGCAGAAGACACCAGAAAGGCAGAGGTTGGGGTGGTTAACATCACATCCTGTGTTAGTTTAACTGACAGCCACAGAAGAACTCCCAACAGTCCAGTAGGAGACTTTAACCTTTTATATCTTTTATGTTTAATCTGAAATAACCCAGCTAGCACATAATGTTCTGAGAACCATATGTTTTTAGAGCTTGGTGGTTCTCCAATGGTTATTTTGCATACAATCTTCCCACAACTTTCTTGGAATGGTGCAGAATAGTTGCTTGTCTTTGGACCATTCTTAGCACATTTAAGGAACTTATTTTCTTGGTATTTCATTACTTTAACAAAACATTTCCTAAAAGTTCAAACATGGTTATATTTAATTAAATTTTTGGTAATGTTCTAGAAACGTTCTCCAAATGGTTTGACATTGGGAATGTTCTCAAATAGTTCAGAGAACGTTAAGAAACGTTATTCTGTGGGAATGTCAGTACAGTAGGGCACATGGACATTCATTTGCTTAAATAAAATAAAATAAATTAAAATTTTAGTTGTAACATACACGTGTTTAGCAGATATTATTGCGGGTGTAGCGAAATGCTTGTGCTTCTAGCTCCGAAAGTGCAGTAATATCTAACAAGTAATATCTAACAATTTCACAACATATACCCAATACACACAAATCTAAGGAATGGAATTAAGAATATATACATATATGGACGAGCAATGACAAAGCGGCATGGACTAAGATACAGTAGAATTTTATAGAATACAGCATATACATATGAGATGAGTAACGCAAGATATGTAAACATTATTAAAGTGACTAGTGTTCCATTTCTTAAAGTGGCCAGTGATTTCAATAGGCAGCAGCATCCTCTAATGTGCTAGTGATGGCTATTTAACAGTCTGATGGCCTTGAGATAGAAGCTGTTTTTCAGTCTCTTGGTCCCAGCTTTGATGCACCTGTACTGACCTCGCCTTCTGGATGATAGTGGGGTGAACAGGCAGTGGCTCGGGTGGTTGATGTCCTTGATGATTTTATTTGCCTTCCTGTGACATCGGGTGCTGTAGGTGTCCTGGAGGGCAGGTAGTTTGCCCCCGGCAATGTGGGCGGTGCAGTACTAGGCGGTGATACAGCCCGACAAGAGGCTCTGTTGCGCCTTCTTCACCACACTGTCTGCGTGGGTGGACCATTTCAGTTTTTCAGTGATGTGTATGCCAAGAAACTTGAAGCTTTCCACCTTTTCCACTGCGGTCCCGTCGATGTGGATGGGATGTTTCCTGAAGTCCATGATCATCTCCTTTGTTTTGTTGATGTTGAGTGAGAGGTTATTTTCCTGGCACCACACTCCCAGAGCCCTTACCTCCTCCCTGTAGGCTGTCTCGTCATTGTTGGTAATCAAGCCTACTACTGTTGTGTCATCTGCAAACTTGATGATTTAGTTAGAGGCGTGCTTGGCCACGCAGTCATGGGTGAACAGGGAGTACAGGAGGGGGCTGAGCACGCACCCTTGAGGGGCCCCAGTGTTGAGGATCAGCGAAGTGGAGATCTTGTTTCCTACCTTCACCACCTGGGGGCGGCCCGTCAGGAAGTCCAGGACCCAGTTGCACAGGGCGGGGTTCAGACCCAGGTCCTCGAGCTTAATGATGAGCTTGGAGGGTAGTATGGCGTTGAATGCTGAGCTATAGTCAATGAACAGCATTCTTACATGCTTGGCCACGCAGTCATGGGTGAACAGGGAGTACAGGAGGGGGCTGAGCACGCACCCTTGAGGGGCCCCAGTGTTGAGGATCAGCGAAGTGGAGATCTTGTCCAGATTGGATAGGGCAGTGTGCAGTGTGATGGTGATTGCATCGTCTGTAGATCTATTGGGGCGGTAAGCAAATTGAAGTGGGTCTAGGGTGACAGGTAAGGTAGAGGTGATATGATCCTTGACTAGTCTCTCAAAGTACTTCATGATGACAGAGGTGAGTGCTACAGGGCGATAGTCATTTAGTTCAGTTACCTTTGCTTTCTTGGGTACAGGAACAATGGTTGCCATCTTGAAGCAAGTGGGGACAGCAGACTGGGATAGGGAGAGATTGAATATGTCCGTAAACACACCAGCCAGCTGGTCTGCGCATGCTCTGAGGATGCGGCTAGGGATGCCGTCTGGGCCGGCAGCCTTGCGGGGGTTAACTTGCTTAAATGTCTTACTCACGTCGGCCACGGAGAAGGAAAGCCCACAGTCCTTGGTAGTGGGTCGCGTCGGTGGCACTGTGTTATCCTCAAAGCGGGCAAAGAAGGTGTTTAGCTTGTCCTGAAGTAAGACGCTGGTGTCGGCGACGTGGCTGGTAGTCCGTGATTGTCTGTAGACCCTGCCACATACGTCTCATGTCTGAGCCGTTGAATTGTGACTCCACTTTGTCTCTTTACTGATGTTTTGCCTGTTTAATTGTAGCAGTAGCCATGGGCGGTGTGTTCAATAGGGCGATATGGGCGACGCACTGCCAAACGGGAAAAGGAAGGGATTTTTTTTCTAATCAATTATATCATGGCAACAGTAGTTCAGTGTTCACGTCTGATCTGCCAGCCACTAAATGTCCAATCAGGCTAAAGTCGTGCTTCAAATGTCCCCGCCCGTTTTGGGGCGATTTCAGTCAGGTTTAAAATCGCCCAGAAGTCTCTCATAGCCTCTAATGTAAAATATTTTTTTTTCAAATTTCTGAGCTTTCAATACATTCTCTATGGGTGTCTGAGGGCTTGCACTTACGCGCTTTCGTCATACGTAACGTAACGTAACCATGAACGGCAGACAGCAACGCTTGGACAGCGACTGGTGTAACCGACATGCACCATCTTTCAGAAAAGATTAAGAAAAATGAGCTGTCAAAGACCCACATTGATAGCTGTTTGAGATTGTCTGCTTTGGTGAGAGTGAATATTGCCACTCAACTGGATGAGGGATACAGGCTAGCTGTCCGCCGCCACAACGATGAGGTTAGCAACAGCAGAGTCGTGAACACTGTCTACGAGAATCGAGACGACCTCATAGAATGTTTTGAAGCCATCCGGACGGGTTCATTGGGTTCATTTGACCAGCCCACCGTACCAGAAGCTACAGAATAAGGACATCGATGCTGTCTTTATCAAACGTGCCCTCGACAGCTTCGCAAGCAGTGTGCAGGCCATAAGGTAAGATAAAGATTAAACAATATCATTCGATCTTTCTCAAAGCAGAGCTTTATTTGAAAATGTATGCATGAAAGGAGACTGCATTTGTGTTTGAAATTACATTATTGTCATTATATATGGCCAGTGGTGTAATCTATCTTATTTTATATACTATGTGTACTGTACAGTGGTGCTCATAAGTGTATGAACACATTCTAAAGCTGACTAAAAAGAGGAATAAAAAAATAAAAAAATCATCTTTTGGAAATTGATCTTAATGACTTAATTAAAAAAGTTGGAAAATCCAACCTTTAAGGACACCAATTTTCTTTTCTTTTTTATTCCTCTTTTTAGTCAACTTTAGCATGGGATCATAAGCTTATGAGCACCACTGTATACTGTGCTGAACATCCAGGCTATGTGAGACACAAAGGCTAACTTAAACACTAAAGACTTTATGCATCCCTGCCCATTTTAAGTGGAACTGAAGTATTTGTACTATACATGGATACATTGCATATACCTGTGCATCACATAGACAACAATACTGTACAAAGCCAACAAACACATTGGTCTGTTTGCCTTCAGGGACTCCTCTCAACAGCAGCTGCAAGAAGCAACAGGAGCCAAAAGACCCAGAACAGCTTTGAGAGAAGAGGAGAAGCAGAGGCTGTCTGAAGAGGTCTGCAACACCATCCTGGATCACACCAAAGAAAGGTTCTCTTTCTCTGGCCACCTTGTGAGTGCTACCTTACAGCAAGCAGACATGTTTGAAAGGTACTGCCATTCAAAAAAATAAAAAATCTGTTCATGTTCATTTTTACAAATCTATACAATTGGCCAGAATATGGTTGTTCATATTTACAAATCTATACAATTGGCCAGAATATGGTTGTTCATTTTTACAAAGCCATACATATTGTTTATGCAGTGTTGAGGAATGTGAAAGAACACCCTTGATTATTTTTACTGTGATAACTTATTTTGCTTTTGTAAGCCAACACTTTTGAGATCAGTCAATAAATGCTTCTGGTATTGACTTATATGCTGCCCCTGTCTTCATGTTGTTGCTGGACATATCTTTTTAAAAATGTGTGTAGGTCACCTAAATCATCAGAAAAATTGCCCCTCCTGAGAATTTTTTCAGGAGCCGCCACTGGCAGTAGCTACACTGTTTGTATTAGGCATTAATCATGCAAACATTTTTTTTTTTGCTTGGAAGCCTGGTATGATGGATAAAAAAGATGTAAGCCTACATGTACATGAGTTTGCTATGTGGAAAGACCTACAGTAAATATCAATCACTCTGCTACAGTTTGGCTTTCCAAAACAATGATGGATGTAGAAAGTGGCAATAAACAGATCACTAGTAATAAAAAGTCTTATAATCATCCACAAGAAACAAAGTAGGCTTTGAGAAAACAGTACATTTGCCTACTTTTATGACATGTATAGGAATAAAACACTACTTAATGGGCTACTCATAGATATACAGTGCATTCAGAACGTATTTAGACCCCTTCCATTTTTCCACGTTTTGTTACGTTACA